GGCTAACTTTGGAGTTTTGTTGTTCTTCTTTCTCTAATTGCTTTAGGTGTAAGGTTAGGTTGTTTATTTGAGATGTTTCTTGTTTCTACAAGTAGGATTGTATTGCTCTAAACTTCCCCCTTAGAACTGTTTTGCTGATTCCTATAGGTTTTGGGTCGTCGTGTTTTCATTGTCATTTGTTTCTAGGTATTTTTTGATTTCCTCTTTGATTTCTTCAGTGATCTCTTGGTTATTAAGTAGTGTATTGTTTAGCCTCCATGTGTTTGTGTTTTTTACAGATTTTTCCTGTAATTGATATCTAGTCTCATAGCGTTTTTGTCAGAAAAGATACTTGATATGATTTCAATTTTCTTAAATATACCAAGGCTTGATTTGTGACCCATGATATGGTCTATCCTGGAGAATGTTGCATGAGCACTTGAGAAGAAAGTGTATTCTGTTATTTTTGGGTGGAAGGTCCTATAAATATCGATTAAGTCCATCTTGTTTAATGTATCATTTAAAGACTGTGTTTCCTTATTTATTTTCATTTTGGATGATCTGTCCATTGGAGAAAATGGGGTGTTAAAGCCTCCTAATATGATTGTGTTACTGTCAGTTTCCCTTTTTATGGCTGTTAGCATTTGCCTTATGTATTGAGGTGCTCCTATGTTGAGTGCGTAAATATTTACAATTGTTATATCTTCTTCTTGGCTTGATCTCTTGATCATTATGTAGTGTCCTTCTTTGTCTCTTGTAATAGTCTTTGTTTTAAAGTCTATTTTGCCTGATATGAAAATTGCGACTCCAGCTTTCTTTTGGTTTCCATCTCCATGGAATATCTTTTTCCATCCCTTCACTTTCAGTCTGTATGTGTCCGTAGGTCTGAAGTGGGTCTCTTGTAGAGAGCATATATACGGATCTTGTTTTTGTCTCCTTTCAGCCAGTCTATGTCTTTGGTTCGAACATTTAATCCATTTACATTTAAGGTAATTATCGATGTGTATGTTCCTATTCCCATTTTCCTAATTGTTTTAGGTTTGCTATTGTAGGTCTTTTCCTTCTGTCATGTTTCCTGCCTAGAGAAGTTCCCTTAGCATTTGTTGTAAAGCTGGTTTGGTGGTGCTGAATTCTCTTAGCTTTTGCTTGTCTGTAAAGCGTTTAATTTCTCTGTCAGATCTGAATGAGATCCTTGCTGGCTACAGTAATCTTGGTTGTAGGTTTTTCCCTTTCATCACTTTAAATGTGTCCTGCCACTCCTTCTGGCTTGCAGAGTTTCTGCTGAAAGATTAGCTGTTAACCTTATGGGGATTCCCTTGTATGTATTTGTTGTTTTCCCTTGCTGCTTTTAATATTTTTTCATGGTATTGAATTTTCGATAGTTTGATTAATATGTGTCTTTGCATGTTTCTCCTTGGATTTATCCTGTATAAGACTGTGCACTTCCTTGACTTGATTGACTATTTCCTTCCCCATATTAAGGAAGTTTTCAACTATAATCTCTTCAAATATCTTCTCAGTCCCTTTCTTTTTCTCTTCTTCTTCTGGGACCCCTACACTTCAAATGTTGGTGCATTTAATGTTGTCCCAGAGGTCTCTGAGACTGTCCTCAATTCTTTTCATTCTTTTTTCTTCACTCTGCTCTGCAGTAGTTATTTCCACTATTTCATATTCCAGGTCACTTATCTGTTCTTCTGCTTCAGTTTTTCTGATATTGATTCCTTGTAGATAATTTTTAATTTCATTTATTGTGTTGTTCATCATTTTTTGTTTGCTCTTTAGTTCTTCTAGGTCCTTGTTAAACGTTTCTTGCACTTTCTCCATTCTATTTCCAGGATTTTGGATCATCTTTAATATCATTACTCTGAAACCTTTTTCAGGTAGACTGCCTATTTCATCTTCATTGTTTTGGTCTGGTGGGGTTTTACCTTGCTCCTTCATCTGCTGTGTGTTTCTCTGTATTCTCATTTTGCTTAACTTACTGTGTTTGGGCTCTCCTTTTCACAGGCTGCAGGTTTGTAGTTCCCGTTATTTTTGGTGTCTGCCCCCAATGGCTAAAGTTGGTTCAGTGGGTTGTGTCAGCTTCCTGGTGGAGGGGACTAGTGCCTGTATTCTGGTGGATGAGGCTGGATCTTGTCTTTCTGGTGGGAAGATCCACGTCTGGTGGTGTGTTTTGGGGTGTCTGTGACCTTATTATGATTTTAGGCAGCCTTTGTGCTAGTGCGTAGGGTTGTGTTCCTGTCTTGCTAGTTGTTTGGCATAGGGTGTCCAGCATTGCAGCTTGCTGGTTGTTGAGTGGAGCTGGGTCTTGGCGTTAAGATGGAGATCTCTGGGAGATTTTTGATATTTGATATTACGTGGAGCTGGGGGGTCTCTGGTGTACCAATGTCTTGAACTCGGCTCTCCCACATCAGAGGCACAGGGCTGACACCCACCTGGAGCATGAAAACCCTGTCAGCCTCACGGCTCAGAATAAAAGGGTGAAAAAAGAAAGAAAGAAAGGAAAAATAAATAAAATAAAATAAAGTTATTAAAATAAAAAATAATTATTAAAATTAAAAAATTAAAAAGTAATAAAGAAGAGAAAGAAAGACGGAAAGAAGTGAGCATCCAAACTGAAAAAGAAATCCATCAATGATATCAAGTGCTAAAAATTATACTAAAAGAAAAAAGGACAGTCATAACCCTAGGACAAATGGTAAAAGCAAAGCTATACAGGGCTTCCCTGGTGGTGCAGTGGTTGAGAGTCCGCCTGCTGATGCAGGGCACACGGGTTCGTGTCCCGGTCTGGGAAGACCCACATGCCGCAGAGCGGCTAGGCCTGTGAGCCATGGCCGCTGAGCCTGTGCGTCCAGAGCCTGTGCTCCGCAATGGGAGAGACCAC